GGTGGGTGGTGATGACTAGCTGCCTTCCCTCTAGTCTTACACTGCTAAATTAGGGACGGCTAGCGCAGATAGCCCTCGTGTAGCTTTGCGCGAAATTCCAAAACAAACAAACAAAACAAGCTTATTTGGAATTTTCAACCTGAATAGCAACTTATACACATATTAGCTAAATAGGCTTAGCAGTCCATAATTATGAAATATTGACCAATTAGAAGACATGCAGCCAAACATCATCCGCCGTCACAATGAAATTTTTCGCTTTTCGATGCAGGTCGCGGATTCGAATTCTTGTCCCACCAAACACGATCGTCCTTTCAACCACGGGGGTGTTATAATGTGACGGTCAATCCCACTATTCGTTGGTAAAAGAGTGGCCCAAGAATTGGCGGTGGGTGGTGATGACTAGCTGCCTTCCTTCTAGTTTTCACTGCTAAATTAGGGACAGCTAGTGCATATAGCCCTCGTGTAGCTTTATGCAAACTTCCAAACAAACAAACCAAACCGGCTTTTCGAACTGAGTAACAGTACTGAATGTCACTTTTATAACGTGGCCACAGCTTAAAAAATGTTAGGCGTATTCGGCGACATCATGTCTCAAACCCTGGATCTTTCGATAGACAGTCCAACATGCTAATACCGGACTACATCTTGTCGTTTATAAAGGAACTGATGAGGTTTAAATCAAGTGAAAGTTCTGTAATACTAGCGATTTGCTTATATACTTGTTGTTTATAACTATTAAAATCCAGAAAATTGAACCCGTTTAAAGAACTGAAATATTAATGTTAATTCACAAGAAAACAAATATTTAAGTTGGTGCCAAAGTGCACACAATAAATAAAGTCAATCTATTTTGTCTCGTAACAAAGGAAATATATAACAATGACACCCGAACTTTTCCTATTGGTTAAAATATTTTATATGCACACACTATTTAAACAGTTTATGGTGACGTAACTACGTCGTTTGGACTAATTGTATAAAACACATCACTTTATTTTCATATATACCATTAATTAGCAACTGTATAAAAAGTGAATTCAATTTCGATCAATTTGAAAGTCGCTTATGGTAAACTCAGTTAAAACATAGTTTTATACCTAAAAATAGTTATATATGCAACGTAAGTAATTATACATGCAACGTAAAAGTGTATAAAACTTCTTACCAAAATGGCTTCAATAATTATAAGTACCACCGTTCCATTTCTGTATCCTATTTTGTCCAACAAGTAACCCCCGATAGAGGGACCAATGAACGACCTGAAATTATTTGAAAATAAATTGAAAGTGTTAAATTTATGAGAATCCACAAATTATCTGGAAACGTCGCGAATAAATATGTGAGTAATTACACATTTTAAATCTTTAATTATAACACATTGTTTTGTTTATAACTGATTGAGCAGATCTAAAAATAGTCGTAAAACGCCATCGGTAACGTTTTTCAAAAGTAACGCCATATTGAGGTATGATTGAAATGAGTATAATAACGACAAAAAAATCAACTTGGTGTCTGATTTGGGTTTGATATCAAATGCACGTTTTTCTTTATGAAAAGAGTGGTCCAGAATATATTTACAATAAGAAAGGTAAAACAGTTGTGTTAAACTATAACTAACAAAGCATTGGAGAAAGTTTATTATAAATGAATCTTTTTTTGGACAAATATTACAACCAAATCAAAGCTATCTGTTATAAAGTTAAAGAAATGTTGATAAAATTTGTAATCCTTAATACTACTCATAATTCCAGGACTGTAAATATGACTTCAAGTATCCACGTTTCCATTCAGAAAAAAATTAAGAATACAACAGCAGGCTCTGGTATAAAACATTATCTAACGATACTATCAGCTAGACTTACTGAATAGAATACAATAGTAAGTTCTGGTATAAAACAGTATCTAATCATACTGTCAGCTGGTCTTAAACAGAATCCAACAACAGGCTCTGGTATAAAAATCAGCTAGACTTACTGAATAGAATACAATAGTAAGTTCTGGTATAAAACAGTATCTAATCATACTGTCAGCTGGTCTTAAACAGAATCCAACAACAGGCTCTGGTATAAAAATCAGCTAGACTTACTGAATAGAATACAATAGTAAGTTCTGGTATAAAACA